TAACAACATGTTTCTTTGTGCATGTTGCTCACGTTGAAGATGATTTGAACGAGTGAGGACATCAAGCTTTCTTCTTCTTTCTTGCCAAAAGCAGGTGCCTAAGCAGCTGGGTGGTGTGTTACACAGAGTTGTCTTGATCAGCGTGAAGATTCACAAGGCATTCAGGCTTTGGACCTTCTAAATGATCAATGAAAATAATGGAGATCTGAGAGACTTCCATCCGTTTTTGGTCACTCATTTTTCTGTAGATGCAGCTGCTGGTTGCAACCTATTTGAATTGGCAGAGGCTAGAGCCAGCAGTGTAAGGTTTCAAAGGAAGTGACTTGATTGTATTGAACATCCAGCAAATTTGGATGAAAGTGCAGAGAAGCTTTAGACTTGGGAAGGGGAGAACTGAGTGGTCAAGAGTGACTTATATGATGCCATACTTTAATAGAGAGGTGGCACAGAAAATGAAAATGGATCAAAGAGGGCATTTGAATTAAGTGGAGACAGGCACCTCCAGGACTTCAGACAATGTAGAGAGTCTGGGCCTGTGAGCAGAGGAGGAGCTTAGCAAGTGGAAGCGTCGAGGAAGAGGACTTGGGTGAAGTCAAAAGGAAGAGCAAATGGAGGAATTGCAGGCAGTATGAAGGCCTACGAGGTTGCATTTGAAGTAGGAAGAAAGCAGCTGTAAACATCCTACTAAGTCTTTGTTTCTTCTCTTCAAAATGTACACAAGAGGAGGAAGGAGGGAGAGCATTTATGTTAAGTTGAAAAAAGTAAAGAATCGTAGACCTCCTCTGACTATGTGTGCCTTAACATGCATGTATATGGCTTAGCCAGGAACTGAACAGCTGGGAGGGATGCAGGACAGACAGTTTTGGACTTTTCTCCAAGGCTGTTGACTAGCGCGTGTGAGGGAGCTTAGATCAATTGCGAAGGAAGTCTTTCATCGTGTCTTTGGTTGAAGGAACTTCTGTTGACTGGCTCCTACATCTAGGCACTGACAAAAAGTCTATGTGCACTGTCCTTGTAGAAGGGCTTACCTGGAGCTGGAAGTAGGAGCCTGCAGCTGGCGTTGCATTTTTGTGAGGATATCCTTGCCGGTAGCAAAATCCACTGCCTCACCTGGGTAAGCATCTACGAGGGCTTTATTATTATTTTCCAGAAACATCTCTTTCCAACCGTAGGAGTCCTTCTGAAGGATAACATTGATCCAGTCTATTATTGTTTAGTCATCTGGTGACTAGCGTAACAGTACACATGATTGAATAAACCCAGCTATATTTGAGTGCACGGAATGGAATTAATATGAATATTATAGGGAAGATGGAATTAATGCTTGAAAGGGTAGATGATCATAGACATTAGATAGAACGCTTACAGGAGCTTTGCTAAAATGCTACAAACGTGCTGGAAAATGGAGTTAGGGCCTGCACTGGTGTTTTAATGAACTATGGTCTTGTAAATGGCCTGTGTTCTTTCTTCCCAGAAAGGGATTGGCATTTTCCACTTTGAAACTACTGCTTTGCCTCATGCTAGTGATTTATCCCTTCTGCCAATCCTGTGCTATGAGATGGGGAGGGAGCTGGGAAGATCAGAGCATTTGGGAATTAGAGTGCCTGGATTTTGTTTCAGGAGCCCTTCTGACTACGGGGATAACCCCTCCTTTAGATGCACCTGCAAGTTCCACTTCACTTGACCTTAAACATCAAACTGAGGTGGGGAAAAGCTTCGAGGGCGTTACCAAGTGCAAATACAAGTGCGTTATAATGTGATAGCTCTTTGTTTTCTGAGCTTCTGTGGCGAATGGTAACAAGGCTGTTGGCGTAGGTGACAGCTGCATGGTCACACGAGTTTGCTTTTTAGTTGTATGTAGCGAAGCGGCAGTGAGCAGCAGAAGGCAGCTGCTTCTGGGCAGACTGCTCCGACATGAGCTGTGCTATGAAAGCTGTTTAATATTTTGGAGTTTGGTCCTTGCTTCCTTCCTGTAGTTGTTCAAGTCAGTGTTTGGGTTCCATTGTGGCCCTTTCACAATGAAAGGTGTGAGGTGTATTGTGAGCCTGACAATGTCCTGCTGGCCACGGGGCTACTGGTATGGTCTGGTACTGCCAAACACGAAAACTGCTGGGGCTTGTCAGCAAGATCTGCCTGTGGTAAAAGGCTTCCCAGGATTTACCATTTGCTGTCTCGCCTCCTAGGATAGCCCAGATTGTGGGAAAAGGGTGTTTTCCCAAGCTGTGGTGCGGAGACTGAAAGCCGAAGTCCTCAGCTATTTCAATGCGCTTGTTTCTGTGTCATTCAGCTGGCAAGTCAACTCTTGCTGCCCAAAGAGTAAAAGTTGAGATAGCTCTGCTGAAGTATTTATGGACTCAAACAGTCCCTGCACATATGTGGTGCAGTGAGTGGCTCGACAGGGCTGAAAGGCCACTGGATGCTGCTGTGATACGAATATGTATTGTTTGAATACTTTGAAAAGTAGTGGGATTGTTCAAAATACTCAAAATATTGTTCAAAATTAAGGGTACAAGGGGAACTTTTCCCCATGCAATCCTTCCATTTCAACTTTCTGTAGTGGAAAAGAGGCTTGGAGTTGGGAGTTTCAGAGTCCTTACCATGATTTTTGCTGATGGCTTTTACAGAGGTGGTGGTGTCTGAAAGCAAGGGAAGGGAGAAACATGCAGCACGCTTGTGATCTATGGTATTTTGGTAGAGAAACAAAGTAATTCTTGGTTTAGCTAACTTTGAAGCGTCAGTGCCTTCATTTTTAATCACCCTAGACTTTAACAAACTGAAGAGCTGTTTTGCCCAAGGATCTGGGGAAGTGGTGAAAAGCAGATGGGGCGCCCAGCTGGGCCTCCCCAAACGGCGGCGAAAGTGGCCACAGTTTCCTGCAGTGCCCCCTCGCACGGCCGGGAATTCAGCCTTGGCTGCTATGGTAGGAGAGATCGCTGAGCGGCTTCTGGCTCTGAACAGTGAATTTGGGCAGGTTTCCTGATACCAAGTGCTGCAAGTCTTAACCAGCATGGCTGGAAATGAGTTGTCTTCCACCGCTAAGACTTAGGTGGTTAGTTACATCGGAGGGGCAAGGGGGGTACCTGGTTTACAGTAATCTCAATACTCGGGCCGCGTGGGCAAGGCGCACACAGGTGCATGTGCATGCAGCGAGGTTACCTTTTAAATAGCCACGATTGTTGCAGTAAACCCTTTGTCACCTGTTTATGTGTAGTGAGTTGGAAAGCGAATCATAGACTAGGCAGGGAAACAAAGTAGGGAGCATATTTGCAAAGCCACTTTTAACTCATTTACCAAAAAAGGATTTTAATGTTTTTTCTTGCTTGCTTCTTCCACTTCTTATACTTATCATAACAGGGAGATAACTTTGTCATGCAGTTTCATTCTGCTTCCCTTTTCTACCCTCTCTTCTCTGGGCAGAAATTGATCTTCTCTCCCTTACCTTTCCTTTTTTCTTTCTTTTTTTCCTCTTCTTTTTTTATTCCCTCTCTCTAAAAATCTGTAAATCCGCTTTTCTCCTTGTGAATATTTCAGGGAAGGGATATATCTTGCCATGCAAATGGCAGCGTTTGCAGTAATGTGCTTTATTTTAAAAATTGTTTTGTGGAGTAGTTGGATGCCTGAAAGCAAATGGCTTTAAGGACCTGAAAGGTAACACAAGAGAGGAGTAATAGGTCATTCAGATTTTTCAAGAGCAAATCATGTCAAACGAACCTACTTTTGTTCTTACCTTATGAATACAGAAGTAGTATAGTAGATATCTTGACTTGAAAATGTTCAAACTAATGTTCTCATAAGCAGCCTCGGAAAGAGGCAGATTACCTAAATGTCCTCAAAAAGGATACACGGTGTGTTGGCAATTTTGTTTAATTGTAATGCTACGTGGTTCAACATAGTTAGGACAGTCTTTTAACAGCGTTACACAGAGTCTTTAACTAGGCTCTCAGACTTCACTGTGCTTCACTAGTTTCCCAGGGATACTCTGTAATCCCATGTGAAATGCATTTCCTCGCATGGTAACTCCAAGTGTTCTGAAGGATGCTACCAGCCAGGAACACTGGCTGCAGTTCACTTGGGGCAAACGTAGCACGCTGGCTTTTCCTAAGAACCACCGTGCGTGCAAGTAGAGCATGGCAGAAGATTGGCTGGGCGGCAGGTTTGTGGAAGAGCTGATGGGTTCTCAATGTGGCACGAGTCAACCCGATTGCAGCGTTGCAAAAGCAGCAAACGCTGTGCCAACACGCAAGATGCAAGTCAGTGGTGCAAGAAGTCACCAGGGCAGAAGGGAACTTCACTTGCAATGCTTTGGGTACCATACCCAGGAGATCTCAGGTGCCTGGAACAGACCTGGAGGAGAGGTGGCCTCTGCAGTGCTTTGGCTTCCTCTGCAACAGCCCTTGGAGTATTTGAGGGGAGAGGGAGGCAAGACCAAGACGGGAGCTAGGTGTGCACTAACCTCCTCGTGCTGCTCCACTGAAGCTGTACACGTAGGTGCCATTCTGGCAGGCTTTGGTATGCGGCTGGTTTTCACTGCTAGACCCATTCCGGTAAAGGACAGAGGGCTGCTCTGTAGTTATGCTGGTATTTCAGTTCCTTCAGTTAGAGGAGACCATGGGGAGAGGGTTTGGTGCTTGATTTTGGTAATATGAGCAACACTGTATTTAATGCTGCTCATGTTAATTAGATGCAAAAATTAGTACTTGTCTTGGCCTTGCATCAGATTTTATACGCTGAGCTGCTTGCATCTGGAAAAAGGAGTATTTTTGTTACAATGTCCTAAATGAAAAATTCTCTCTACTAAATATTTCTTTAAAAAATATGCTCAGTATTTATTTTTTAGGCTTTTTTCTTCCTCTGTTATGCTAAAATGCACGTGCTGGTTGAAATGTTTGCTCTGTTTTTAGTCTTGTTGGTTGGTGGTCTTGCTTATGGATGTATTCTGATTATCTCTTTTTTTTTTTTTTTTTTTTTTTTTTTTTTTTTTTTTTTTTTTTGATTCCCAGGAGACAAAGATGGCAGCAAAGTGACTACAGTAGTGGCAACTCCTGGACAAGGTCCAGATCGACCACAAGAAGTTAGCTACACAGACACCAAGGTGATTGGAAATGGATCTTTTGGTGTTGTGTATCAAGCCAAACTCTGCGATTCAGGAGAGCTTGTGGCCATTAAGAAAGTCCTGCAGGATAAAAGATTTAAGGTGAGACTGCATAGCTGCAGAATATTCTTCATAAATGTTTCTTCATTTTCCATTCCTTTGACGGCAAACTCTCTTCCTAATTATTTTCTTTGGAACACATAAATGCAAGCAAAACTTTAAAGACCAAAGATTAAACAGATGGTTTATGATAAGTGGATTTAGTTTAACTTGAAAATCAGTGAGTCACGGCTGTTACGTTTATTTGAATTACTGCAAAACAGGAAACTAAAAGTCCTGGTTTGATGTTGTGGTGCTGTTCTTGGTGCCAGACTAGATTCCTCACACAATGAAATTGGGGAACAGAGGAAAAGCTGTTCTTAAACTTACTTTCTTCTACCATAAATTCTTCTCCAGTCATTATGAATTAACCCAGAAAATGAGCCTAGGGCAGTTTGGAGTGAAGGGGAGCCTTATGAATGTGATCTAGTCTGGCAGATTTACTAGGCTAGTGGAACTTCTTTTCTAGGTTAACAAGTAACATTTGGAAAGAAAATCACACTTATATCTGGGTGATATTCAAAGCAAATAAAAGTTAAGGACCACTAGCAAACTAATCACCACCATTACCTCTTGTGCTGGGTGGACATAGAAGGTTTTGTTGCCCTCCTTTGAGGTCAAGTGGCCTGGAGATAGATTGCACAAGTTTATGAATGGCAACAAGGCTTTGGCTTTCAACACCTGAAATCAAAAGCCTCAGCTTTCTCTCCTTTTTATTTATTTACCTGTTTTTCCTCCAGTAATACTCAGTTAGCTTTGCCGATGTCAATTGTAATTTGTATCCTGTTCTGCTACCAAGATCATTCTTTAAAAGTGTTTCTCTTTTTTCTTGGGCCTTGAAATTGAGCCTGCCATCACCACAAGGCACCAGCATGTCAGAGATGATAAATTAAGAATGGAAATGGGAAGATATTTTTAAATTAAACAAGGGCAAGTACAGGGTCCTGCACCTGAGGAGGAATAACCCCAGGCACCAGTACGGACTAGGGGTTGACGTGATGGAAAGCAGTTTCGTCGAGAGAGATTTGGGGTGTCCTGGTTGACAGGATAACTTGGAGCCAATAATTTGCCCTTGTTGACAAGCAGGCCAATGGACTCCTGGCCTGCATCAGGAGGAGAGTAGCCAGTAGGTCGAGGGAGGGGATCCCGCCCCTCTGCTCAGCTCTGCTGAGTCTGCACCTGGAGTATTGTGTGCAGGTCTGGGCTGCCCAGTACAAGAAGGACATGGAGCTGCTGGAGAGGGTCCAGTGTAGAGCAACAAAGATGATTTAAGGGACTGGAGCATCTATCGTATGAGGAAAAAGACTTAAGTGACCTAGGCCTGTTTAGTCTAGAGAAGAGAAGACTGAGAGGAGATCTGATCAATAAATATGTGTAAAGTACTTGAGGGGAGAATGTAGGGAGGATGGGGCCAAACTCTTCTTGGTGATGGCCGGTGACAGGACAAGGGGCAAAAGGTACAAATTGAAACACAGGAAGTTCCATCTCCATGTGAGGAAGAACTTTTCTGTGAGGGTGACAGAGCCCTGGAACAATCTGCCCAGAGAGGTTGTGGAGTCTTCTCTGGAGATCTTCCAATCCCATCTGGATGTGACCCTGTGCCACGTGCTCTGGGTATCCCTGCTGGAGCAAGGGGGTTGCACTAGGTGATCTCCAGAAGTCCCTTCCAACCTCAACCAGTCTGTGATTCTGTGAAATTAGCCAAACATGTGCAGTGCTTTTTAACTTGTACTTGAGAAAACCATGTTATCTTCTTGTATTTTTCCTATACTTACTAATTCCTGGATTGTGTATGTGTTAAAGGTAATAATTGGTATTCATACTATAATGCAAGAATGGCTGAGAGATGGGAAGGGTTGAAGCTCTAAGCTAGTTGTGCTTAAAGCTGCTGATTGATCTTTTCTCATTGTATCTTGTTAGGTGGAAGAACAGTTCATTTCTTACCAGAGTCCAGCTGCTTTGGTGTCAGCTAGTGCTTTAGATCAAAATCCTTGGTTTTACAGCTTCTGTAATCTCATGACTTGGAGGTCGTGCATGATGTGGACATGAAAATTTGGCCCAGAATAGACTAGCTTTGGTTATATTTCTTTCAGTAGTTGATTCTGTGACACTCTGACTAGATACCATTTTCATTTGGGTTTTAAGCAATTAGAAAAAAAACATGGTATCTTTGAACAGGAGTCCTATTAAAAAGAAGTCATAAAATCTAAAGACAGGGTGTTTCCCCCTTGGACTTCCCTTGGACTTCCCTTGCTCACACACGATGGATGCACACTGAGAATGCCACCTCTGCAGAGACCTTAATACACCTAGAAGGAAGTAATAACATGCATATGGAGATTTACTGGTAAATAAGCTTCGGTCATATCTGCAATGTTAGTCAAGTTAAGTATTTTCTCATGTTCTTACCCAAACCTGCATCACAGCTGTATGACCTCATCCACTTTCATCCTCAGCTCTCTAATTTTTCCCCACCTTCATCTGTGTAGTGCTCCCTTTTCAGTCTTTGTTTTCATATTCTCCTCTGGAAGCACATGTTCTCCTGGCTGAAGGTGTAAATTTGTGTATGGAGCTGGTTACCCTCAAGGTTAGATGAAAGCCTCTGCCTGGACAGATTTGGAAACTAGGGACCCATATCTTGTATCAGGAGTAGCGTACAATTACTTCAGAGTATGCTGCTCTTCGGGAACATCTGATACAGGTTGTAGGTAGAAGATCAAATGTTTTCCCATTAAACAGAACCTCCTGAAAGTGTGTTGGCTGCACAGTTGCACTGCAGCTCCCGTTCAGAGAGCTCAGCCGGGAAGTGTAGCTGGATTGGGCTGTTGCCACCCCGGCGTGACAGCCTGCGTCACCAGAAATCGTGCAGAAATCCGCCCCTTACCGCCAGCCCATGAGGACAGATCATGAGGAAAACCCTATGCTAGGCAGTGGCAAGTGACAGTAGGACGCGGGTTATGTGTGCTGTGTGTGCATTTTGTGGTTTTTAATCAATGTTGTCAACTTCTGAGAGCATAGAGGACTAATACTTGAGACACGTCTGCACTAGCCGCAGGAGTGGAGATTTATCGGGAGGAGAGTTAATGTACAGAAGCTGCTTTCTGAAATGTGGACCATCAGTGAAAATTTCAGCTGTCTACTCCAAGCTGGTGCCTGCTTGCCTTTTATACCCTGACAGGCCTTGCTTGGTGTGCTCTGCATAATTCCTCTGCGTTCTAGCTCTTAAGTAAAATAAATAAAAAAGTTTTGCGAAGCTGGTAAGAACTCCCTGAAACTTCAAGGGACGTGATTCAGAAGCTCTAACAAGTGCCAAGGGAACGTCATCTCCTGGCAGTCTTCCTATGTGTCACGCATGCGGAAGAAGTTTATTGTGAGGACAGGAAAATGCGCCCCAGTTGGCAGCGTTTAGGTCTTGTAAAGATCATTTTAAAATTCATATGTGCGTAGTTCAGTGTAACCTGCTAGAGCACTGGTATTGTTACACTAGGCATGCAAACAACTATCTGAGGAGACGAGCTTGAATGGTGTTTCAGGCCTATTTTTTTGGTTTGCAGTTGTTGTGAACTCATTAGGCTGCATAATGCAACTGGTCTCCATATTAAGAATGGAAATGTAAGTCATGTCCTTTTGGGTGATCTACTTGTTACTGATGTGAGTGAGAGAGATTAGGAATCAATCTTGTTGCAGTTTAATCTGCAAAAAGTAATAATAAGCAAGCAGGTTTGTTAACACAAATAGGAACATTCTTGGTCCATTTTTTTTTGTATGAGTCCTATTTTATTTTTTTCTCATTCTTAAGAAATCTTGTTGGAATGAATACATGAATTACTAGAATTACATTCTAGTTGGCAGATTATAAATACTTATGAACAGGTCATATCTGGATTGCAATACTGAATGTGTCCTCCTTTTTTGCTCGGCTGCTACTATCTAAATGATGAGCAGAGTTCTTACTAATTCTACCCCTTTTAAGGCAGCCTAGATGGGGCATCACTGGCAATAGCTCATATGGTCCTCAAGCACGCAGCAAGGGAAGCCCAGCTCTCCGTGATGTGAACCACTCAAATGATGTGGTCAAATTGACTCAGATTGCTTTAAATATATCAAGCTGCTATATGTATAAAAAGGGTGCTTTTCAAAGTACTCTCTATCCCCTGGTTGTGTTAATCACAGCAAATTCTGATCATAGCAGCTCTCAGGAAAAAAGCGAAACCGTAAGGCAGAATTCTCCTGTTGGAAGAGGCTGGGTGTTTAGGGTCATAAGCTGTGTTACCTCTTCAGGAGACTCCAGAGTTTTACGCAGTTAGCAAAGTCGACCCAGTTTTCTTTTCGGGTAGGCTCTGTGTCCTGCCTGTGATTGGAGGCATCGCTCTGTGTGTGCGCATGCAAGACGGGCCCTGCTGCCTAGTGAGGTCGCTCTTTGCTGCTCGAAGTCTCAGCAGGCTCTTTGCAGACACCATTAATAGTCTGCCTTGCACTTGCAGGCTTGGTAAAACTAGCAGAAGGAACTAGCTGGTCCCAAAGTCTTTTCAGAACTGTCCCTGAAAACCTTTCTATCACCAACTGAAGGGTTGCAGCCCCTCTTATAGACTGGGCCTGTCAAGTCTGATGTGAAATATCAGAGATATCTCAGCACATGTGTGGTTGTTTTTTTGAACATTTTAAGACCTGGAAAGCTGTTCTCAGTTTCAAATGGTTTCTTACAGACTAGGCTTTCACTGTTGTGTGTAGGCCAAATATGCAGCTCCAGCTGAGCTTGGCGTAGCCGCGTTGCTGGAGATGGTTACTGCAACAATAGTGTTTCTTGTAGCAGTGCTTGATCTGTGCATTTTTTTGAAGGCTACCTGCCCTGAACCAAATCTGGCTTTTGGCAGTAATGGTGGTTTCAAACGCCTGTGTGTTGAGAGAGGTATCTAGTTCTCATTCCCAGCCTTGCGTTTCAGCTGATTTTTCTCCTCCTTGCTGGCAAGGCTGGCAGCCTGTGCATAGCTCTGCTTTGGGCG